TTTAATTCCATCGACAGCTTTGCAGATCTTCCTGGCAGGTATTTGACGCATTTAACCTTGTAGAAGCAGTTCAAATTCTTCCCTTTTGCGCGCAGTTTTGCTCTGGCCTCAGCGCCATGCCAGAGCTGCAGAGTGTTTTTTCGCAGGCAGTTGGGGCTCATCCTAGACGACTGCTTCTATGCCTCACAGTCATGCCAGACAGTCCATAGGGTGCTTTTCGCCGGTGGGTGGGCTTGAGCCTGGGCGACTGTTTCTATGAAGTGTCAGCGGTCGCTCCCAGGCCTGCAGAACCCATCTTTCGGGCGGCGACTGATGGGTCGGACTCTTGAAGTGTAGTTGCGCAAAGTTAACCTGCTAGGCCGCTAAATGCTAGGAAAGGCCTGAAAAGTGTGGGGTGAATCTAATGTGTAATTCGTTGAATTGCCGAGCATGTTGGACTTGCGCGGACGCTGCTCGGAGCGGAGTGGATGGGTTTGGACGGAAAACAACTGGCAGTCGATTAGACCGAAGAGGGAAAGGTAACGGGCCAACAAGTGGTGTATGAAGGCAAGGTCAAGACAGAGGAAAAAGACAGACAACAAACCAAGGACCCTTCTCTACAAATCCCCTGTGTCCACTCTTCCAAGGAACAGTATGGGACAGTCGGAATGGGACGCAGTAAGATTATATATAGAGAGAGAGATTCAGATATTATGCAGCAGTTCGATCGACGCTTGGTCGTCAGCTGCAGTTGTTTACAAAGATTTTCAAGGGCGTGATGTTGGATTTAAAGATGATGTAGCTTCCTGGTAGGGTTGATTTGAGTGATGTGATGTGGGCGTTTACAGGTTGGTTCCTGGAGTCGTGTTGGCTTGGCCTGAGTTGGTTGAATCTGGTGTCTTGAAGTGCAATGGTGATCATTTCACCTCCCGGACCTGGAGAAGGGTGTGGATCTTGCCGGCGCTTGATCCTTTCAGCCTGAATGGCTTGAGCTCCCTGGTTACTGCCTAACATGGGCCGTATCTGACAGAGTCCGCACGTTGCGCTATAAAGATACCATGCGGTTGGTTGGGAATATAGATGGCAAGATGGACGGCACGTGCCAAAGATGCATAAGGGGGTCAGCGGCGCCCAGGCATTAGCCCGACTTGTCCGGCGATGCCGTATGGTGTAGCTTATCGCCTCTAGCTTTAGCTACGGGGGTGCCCCCCCTACGGTGTTTTGTGAAATCGAGATTAAAAATTGTGCGCTCGCTTGCATTTCGAGCCGTTTTTTGTCCCTGGAGCGATTCCAAACATAGCAAAACGAGAAATGTAGCAAAATCCTTGAGCCTGGTGGGGGAGAGGCCTTTTTTAGGAATTCTGGGATGTTGAAAAACATGCAGATTGGACAAAAAATTTGGGAACTGGAAAGGAACTGGATTTGGGCCTTACAGGGGCAGTTTTGAAGCCTTTTTTTTGGCTTGCGCCTTGGCACCAAAAACTGCGCAATGGAATTAGTCCACCTGTCAGGACGTGGAGCTGGAAGATGAGAATGTGTTTGGTGATATGTCCGGGTGAACAGTGCTTGCGTCGGATGCACTGCTGCTGCTTTGTCTTCCATTGAAAGGGCGGACGCAACTTTACGAATATGTTTTGCAGAAAAGTGACTGGTGGCTTTGACAGGTTCCGAATCGGTTTTGCACGCCACTTCTGGTTTCAGAAGTTGCCTGTGCAGGGCTCAGACTTGGAAGCAGCGCAAAACTTCTGTTCAGAATCCGTTTTGCAAACCTGTCAGAGCCGTCCACTGTCTGTTTTTGAAAAGGGTGACTCCAGCTCCAGACATGAGGTGTAAAGCAGGTTTGAAGTCGCGCAAGAAGAGCAAACAGATTCTGACAAAGCGATGTAAAATCCAGAGTGACATTGGATCAGTGCTTTCGGGAAAAAGAAGTACAAGGTGGGAATTGGATGGCGTGACGAGAATGGCAAGCCGGAAAAACAAGAAAAAATTGAAAAATGTTTCACTTGAAGAAACACACATTGCCTTTGTAAAATGACGTTGTACAATATACACCTCAAAAAATCGGAGACTAGACTCAGGTGTGCATGTGCAATGATGCTACCTAGCAATAATGGAGCCCGTTGCAATTTTGCTGAAATTGAAGTTGATCTTCAGTTTCATGTTGTTGCTGATTATACGGTTGATGTTGCTGTTGTTGTTTCTGATACAATCCTGGTTTGTGCCTTCCAACACATTTTTTGGTTCAGATGAGAGCAGTCATTCGGACTGACAAGCGCCAACACATGAATTGCTAGAGCCCTTGGTGCTCTTCGTGACTTTTGTTTAGGCTGCGAATATGTTTTAGATAAAGTTTCATAGTACCATCTCATTCGGGTTTTCGTGAGTTTCGCAGTTTTCAAGTGCTTGTGGTTTTGTGGATGAATTAGGGATCGACATGCATCATGTGGGAGGACCTATGCCAAACTCCAGTGTTGTGGTCTATGGTTGGCCAATTACCATGTAATTTTTTTGACATTTAGTTTTTCATTGATGCCACGTTCGCGTCCTGGCACCATTGCAAGTTTGTGAGATGGCAAAGTGCCACAACTTGGCCCCACATTTTTTTCCTGTTTGTTCCTCAAAAACACTTCGAACGCATTGCAATTCATCTCCGGGGTCAATATTTTTTGGCTCATGCATCCTGCCAAGAGATGGTCCGGCAAGTTACACCGAGAGCAGCATGAGGCGGAGGGTTGTTGAAACAAATGCAATTTAGTGGAGTGTTCATGTGCATGTCCAAATCAGTTTTCCCGGATGCGAGGTAAGAGTGCACTTCAATATGGCCGGTCGGGTTCCAAAAAAGCGCCTGTCATCTTCTTTATGGGACAGCTTTGCAGTTCTTGATGATTCGAACCCATGACTTGCATTCAGGTGCGTCGTTCGAGATTAAATTGGAGGATCCTGAGGCTGAGTTGACCCAGGCAGGTAGAAAGGATGGATGTTTTTGGGCAATAGAGCAGTCCTTTTCGCAGGATCAAAAAGAAAAGGTCCTTGACAACTTTAAACTGCTCGACCAAAGCAAAAGTGGTCAGGATCTGAACATCTTTTGACTAGTTTGGTATGGAAACACAAAGATCGATGCTCAGGTCGGTTGAATCCACAGCAGGCTGGCCAGACCAATTCCGTGTTTCAGTGCTTGGAATTTCGATCTGCACAATGCCCAGGTCGGCATTCTATTCCGAGCATTTGGCCAAAATCCCACTGATGAGGTCCACTGTCCTTGGCAGCAGCTGCTTGGCAATGATTGCTGTGAACGTTTCTGCTCTGCAACAGGAACTTGCAGAAATGCTGAGACCTATTCCACAGTCAGGGTTGGACGTGTCTTGGCTCAAAACTGTTTGGCCAGCATTGCCTGGAGTGTGAGAATCGCTTCATTGCTGAGGTGGATGGTTTTATTCGCTTCTTTAAGGGAAATTACAGGCCATATGGGCCATGTGTCTAGCTGTCCTACGGGCACTTACTCACATTTTGAGAGGCCTCCAACAACTGAAGATACATTGTTGAAGGCCTTCCAGGCCAGGCATGCAATTTGACATCTTGATGTTCAATGCATGAGCCAGACGTTGCAAAACATTCGGAAGGTATTTGACTTGGAAGACACTGGAATTATGAGCCGCGACAAGTTCAAGGAACTTTTTCTTGTTTTTTTCACTTCTGGCATTGACAACTGGCCATGTGATAGCTTCAATCGTGTGTGTTCCCCTAGTCAGTGGTTAGACTAGTAACAGTCCACGCCCTTACTCGCACAAGTTTGGAGTCAATGTATCAACCGTGCCGATGCGTTCCACCTCTGAGTGGTTATTGTTGTCAGCATAGGAGATGCTCACATCCTTGGGTGATCCAATGCAAGATCATGAGGCTTTGCACCTTTTACTTTGAAGAGCTTTGGCTACAACAAGGTTACGCTACTAGGTGGAGGCCATCGCTATTAGGTTGGAGGCCATCTTGGCTTCCAAAAGGCAATACTTTGCAGGTCGAGGCAATCCTTAAAGAAGCTGAAGTCGATGACAAAGGCCAGTGGTGGCCAGATGGTCCTTATTTTTGGTGGCAAAGCCTGTTTGAGCAGTGGTGACATGGGTTTTGCTGTTGTACTTGTTATCATGGGTGATAGTGTGATGCCTATGGCTTTGTGGTTGCATGTTTGTCGTCACGGTTTAGACGTAGTTTTCACAGCAGTGACACGCAACTTTTGCACGTGCATCATTCTTTCAGTTGCAAAGCGAAACAGCTTTACAATTTGTGCTTATTATGCTAGTTATGCAATGCAAGACATTGGGCAGTGTCAACATTGTGTGCAGTTAATCTTCATGAAGGGCCGAGCAAACACTTGTTTTGAGTCTTGTAGTGCGGAGAGGCCTTTTCGATTACAAATCGCTGGCCAAGCGCCTTTGTGAAGGGCCAAAGCGTATACCGGACATGCCGTGAATTTGGAGCAATATAAAGGTTGCGAGAAATGTGGGGACAAAGCACGTCTCACTGTTTGGTGAAGACAAGGTCTAAACATGAAGAACTAGGGAATTTATATAACATATTATAACATCTGAACCTTGTTCAGTTGCAATCCTGTTGAACTCTGGGCAGGTTAAGCATTCTTGGCAAATTTCTAGCTATGTGCATGGAGCCATCCAAAATTGCAGGTGGCGTTGTGTTTCACCCCTGGAACTCAGCGTTAAAAAACGATGAAGAAAATGGAGCTTTGAAATTCTCTCGACTTTATGTTCTTTATGTTCAAAGCTTCACTGAACACATCACTAGTGTCTTCTGAATTCTGCATTCTTTGCAGCTTTGCTGTTTTGGCTGGTGCAAGCTGACCTTGCGAATAAGAATGGAGCAGTTACATGCAATCAGCTGCATCTACTTGGCAGCCTTGAGAAAAATGAGGTTGTTCTCGTTGGGATGTGCGAGATCCTATTTGAGTTTGAAGACCCAATAACTTGATAACAAAACCTGAAGCCTTGTGCCATATTCCTGAGCCTCGTGCCATGGGTGTTCCAGGCTTCTATCGTTGGGCTGTGAAGAGGGTGCCATACCTTCGTGCCAAAAGTTGTGGCTTACCATATGAATTTGACAATCTGCATCTTGCCGAAACGGACACGTTTGCTTCGAAAATTGAACGCCCAAAAGACATGTCTTTACTTGCACAATATCTATCCATTTTGTAAGGTACTTGGACTTCAATGGAGTCGTGCACACTTGTGTGAATGACTGGAGTCTCCAAGAGCAAGAAGAGTTCCTTTTCCGTCTCATTGAGGCGGAGAGAAAAACCAGTCCCTTCGGCGTCACAAGCTTCGGCCACACGTGGCCAGGCTCAATTGGCAGTCTTGCTGTCCATTGTCAACCCCAAGGTGTCGGACTCAGTGCAGTGCGAGGAAATTGGAATGACAGACGCCTTGGGATTCAACATGTTGGAGGAACCTCAGAAGTATCCCTGTGATTGGGTGTATAGTTGTCTTTACTTTGTTTTGCCTTCAAGTTCTTTTGTGTCAGTCTTGTGTCTTTAGGTTTTCGTGAGTTTGTGCAGGTGCTTCTCTACATTGCCCTTGATGGTGTTGCCCCTCGGGCCAAGATGAATCAGCAGAGGTCAAGGCAGCCTATACAAGCCACTTTTCCATGTAGCACAATTCCATGCAGCAAGAAGCTACTAGGTTGGAGGCCATCACTCTTAGGTCGGACCTGTGCACGGGGGGGCCCCCTTCTGCAAGTAAAATGCAATCGCTAGTAGGTTGGAGGCCATCACTACTAGTAGCAAGAAGCTACTAGTCGAAGTACATCCTTGGTTTTCCCAAAAGGCTAGACATTTGTGATAAGCACAATGCCATGCAATTTTCGGATCTGTCCGCCTCCAGGCGCTTCCGCAAAGCTCAAGAGACCGATGCTGAAGATGGACTGACGGAAGCGGTCGAGCTCTTTGTTTGGACACCCAGGTGCTTTTATTCCCATCTTTGGTGGTGAGAGTTCGCTGGTTCAAAAAGCACAGCTAAGGATCGGAATGCTATCACTCCAGGGCCTATCCCTTGGTTGTCTTCGTCTTGCAGCAGTTCAAGTTGATACCAGCTCAGGACCCCTTTCATGCTGCGGTTGTCTGAGCGGCTTCGCAGTTGGGCGGAAGCACAGGCCAAGCAGTTGGAGTTGCTATACAACCAGCTCGGTTTACTAGGATGTACTTCTACTAGTAGCTTCTTGTCACTGGTAGTAATGGCCTCCAACCTACTAGCGATGGCCTCCAACCTAGTAGCTTCTTGCTACAAAATAGTCACTCCTTGCAGGCGGCAAACCCCGACTTGAAGGGCGTGACGATTGTCATATCTTGTGATCGCGATCCAGGTGCGGATTTTCGGCACATGCAGAGCACGAAATGCGTAGCACGTTACCGAGGCGAAGGCGAGCATAAGATCATGAATGTGATCCGTTCGCATCCGGAGCACACTCACTGCCTTTGCAGCAATGACGCAGTAGCTGGGACTGAAGTCGTGAGAAGCACTTGTAGAGCATGTCTTTCGACATGGCTAAGGACTTGGTCTTATTGGGGTTGGTTTGCCGATCTGAGCATGTATACTTGCTTCGCACGAAGCCAAACTATGAAAAGAGGGTTCGCCCGGACTCCGCTGCACAGGAGAGCGCCCGGATTCCGCGTGTCTACTTTTGTTTTTTCCGGCTCTGAAGTACTTTTTCATCATGGAGAAGAGTTTCATGTTCCGGCCATTTTGACCAAGTTTTATGGTCATAACATTTAGGCGCAATCGCATAGAATAGGTCTGTCCTAGGAAGAGTACTGAGAGCAAGACTGCACGAGCCTTTCGGTGCGTCAAACCTGTGCAGATGTCTGAAAGGGAGATGGATGCAGTCTAGAGTCTAGTGGTTTGATACGAGATGTCAGCAAATTGCTGTTCTAAACTAAACTGACTGTAATGCACTGTTGCTTCTGTTCCACAGGATTCCGACCAAAGAGAATTGCTCTTGGAGGGTGGCTCGCAGCCAGCAGTTGAGGCAGACATCGTCACAAAGTCCATGATTATTCGAAACAATTTTCCTAACACGATTCTTGTGATCACACCATTATGAGGACTACGAGATGCTCAGCATTGTGGCCTTACGTGCTTGGCTATGCAGCCAGTTCCCAGATTGCATACCGTCACATCCCTAGTTAGAGCTGCTGCCAGGATCAATTTCTTCCCTTTGCGTCAAGTGATTTCAACAGCGAAAGATCTTTCCGTCCAAGGCATCGCTTATTGGCAGACTTCGTGGCCATGTGCTGCTTGGTGGGCAATGATTTCTTGTAACTTGGCCAAGCTTATGGTGCGAAAGTGGAGCGAAGCATAGCGAAGCGCGTGGCACGCGGGGCTTGTGGGCTGATGTGGACAGATGTCCGCCCGACTTGGCGAAGGCCTCATATGGCTGCCTTGGATATCTATGATGGAGGCTTGGACAAGCTCTTGGCCGCGTACTACCAGCTGCGTCCTGCACAACATGGGTGACCTGACTGGGTATTTCCTGACTGTGTGACCTGCTTGTTTGGCATTTGCTTTTGACCGAATTTCTCCAAACCCTTTCATCAGGTATTTGACTCGAGAGGACTTGACTCTTGAGCTCCCCCGGTGGTCTGGCCTTTTGGAGCAGGTTGCCCAGGAGCCTTTGGAAGTTGTTTCGATTCTCTGATTCGAAGTGTGATGGAGACGAAGTAGGTACAGATTGAGGCAGAGCAGGCAGCAGGGTGGGTGTCCGGAGGATGAATGCGAACTCCTTTTAGACATGGTACATCTTGGCTTGGGGCCAAAGCAGCTTCATTACCGCGGGCCTGGCCCTCCACCTGCGGATTGGGATGGCCTGTCTGTGGTGGTCTGGTATGTTCCACGAAAGACCACAGAGGAGCAGCTGATGGTACTTGGCTGAGCTTGATTCTTTTTCTCAACCGAGGGACCGAAGTGTTCATCGATCCCAGGCAGCGATGTCAAAGCAAGGTTGTCAAGTTCGAAGTGTTCATCGACTGAAAGAATACAAAGGCACGCACGGCTGCGTAGAGTTGCTTTGCAGTCTGTACTTGCATGGCAAAATCGGCACTTAGGACCATTAGCATGAACAAATGATAAGTTTCCCACAAAATCTAGGAACCACATGAATAGCGTGAGCTATCCTGCGTCCAGTAGGTTTTAGCTTACTTAAGCTAGCCCTTACTTATTTCAGGAGCCACGGTCTACTTATAATTAAGTGAGGGCGAGCCTTCACAAGCAACTATTTCTTTGCGATCAGGAAGTTCTTGGTTGGTCCATTTCAGCGATGCCCAGTCAGCTGTTTGGCGCCCCGTTTGGCGGTCGCGCGGTGACTCCGTGTGACACTCCGTGTGACTCCACACATTTCGCTAAGGTGAATACGATTGTTTCAACTCGCCGCATAGAAGGCCGACGTTTGGAGGCAAGTTGACACCACAAGTGCTTGGCTACTTTGTTGAAATCAATCTTTTTCTTTTGAATTCTAGGTGGCATGGGCTAAGCCCAGCTCTTTGCAGTTGGAAGAGCTGCCTGAGCCTTCAACTGATCCCTTTCAGGCTCAACCCTTGCAAGTTTGTTTAGTGCTTGAGCATTCTTGTCCTTCTTTCAGGTGGCTGAGTGGCGTTCGGTACTTCACACCGTAGTGCGCGAGAGCTTTGAATACTGGCGGCTTGGCCATTTCTGTTTGGGATGGCCTCTACAAGCTTGCAGTTGATGTTTCCACTGTGAGGCTTGGTCCTGAAAATCTACCCAACGATGCCTTTCTTCGAAGACATGTGCGAAAGCGTCGAGAGTCTTGACTGATCAAGGCAAGGCCTGCTGCATTCGGTTTCGGAGTTTCCGGCAGTTTAGGCCTCCCGTGGTGCAACTCTTTCACTGAAAGTGGTCGAAGGGCTTAAGTTTTTTCTAAACATCTATATAATTATTAGTGCGAGCGCTATCCTGCGTCCATGTCTAGAAGCCAACTAGTAGCCACTAGCTTACTCCTCCCTAGGGACAGGGGGAAGCGTGCTTTCAAGAAAACACTAGATGTTTATTTATTACTACAAGAAAGGAGCGGGCCATACAATAAAGGAAACATATATTTGTCATTGGAGAGAGGAGCGGGCATTTACTTTTTAGAAAGACATAGTGATTATTTGAAGGCCTTAAGATGTAGCTGTGGAAAGCCAAGGATCGCTTCGTGCCCCTGCGTGTCTTTGCCGCCTTTCGGCGCCTGAAGATTTGGATGCAAGACCTGACGCAATTGGCAGATGTGCCTGGGCAATGCGTTGAGCTTTTGTACCGGATTCCTAGTACTGTAACGTCCTTGCTCCTAGTAGTAAGGCCAGGAGCCCCTAGTAGCGTCCTTGCTCCTAGTAGCGATGCCCTTTGCTCATAGTAGCTTCTTGGATGCACAAGTTCACTTGCTCTTGCTTTGCGCTCTTGTGACACACGCCCTTTCGCAAGTTTGTGTCTACAGACGGTGCATTTGTTTTTGCTCACGGCCGGGTTAGCGACCCGATGGCAAAACACAATTTTCACATTCTTGCTTTCAACTGACGTCTACGCTATAAATGTGGTGGGGTGGTGTTGACGTCACTTGTACTTGCAGACGCTCTGATTGCTACGCCATGGATGGGGGTGGATCAAAAGAGGTAACTCCCTGGGAGGGGTGGTTTGCTTGGGGGCAATGTCCTGATCAACGCGTCGTTTCTGCATTTCCCTGCTTGGTCCTTATGCTGTCAATGCGCACAGAGTCGAGGAATTGGCTTCAACCCTGATGCTGTCCAGCTCAGGTGTTGCGATCTTCTGAGATCTTGGAGGTCATGGGTGAAGGCCGTGAGGCCATGGTCCGGGCGAAGGAGGACCACAGCCGAAAGCCTGAGGAGAGCAAAGAACAGGCATGGAGGGAGCAAAAGCCGGGGAAAAGCCAGAGACATGCTGGAGAACATGCATTATGCATGCTGGGGAAAGAGAGATTGGGAAGCCGCGTAGGTCCAGAGGCAGAACGATTGCTTGGAGCTGCTGGAAGCTGGCCGTAGTGTTGCTCGCAGTGCACTCGTGTGTAGACGGTGCAGAGCAAGTTTGCGAGTTTGCTGACTGAGGTTGAGGCTGTCCAGAAACTCCTTCCAGAGTATAATGCACGCTATTCAGGGCCAGTGGCGACTGGTTCACCTCCCGCAGAAGATGCAGCTGCAGTGCAGCCTGGAACCTATCAAACTGTGAGGTCTTTCTGCGAGCGACTGCTGGGTTTTCTGCCAGGCAGCACAGAAGCATGGCATTCCTGTCGGGCATCGAATGGGTGGCTTCCTCAACTTGTGAGCTTTCCTCCTGATTCCTTCGACCCACAAAGGAACCTGTCCAGCTTGTGGTCCGAGGTTTTGCATTATTATGTGGAAGGCTGCTCTTCCTGGTCATGGTCCCAATCTTAGAGAGATGTGGATCATGAATGATCATTTTGAATCAGGAGGCATCAAAACAGGGGGGCATTTCTGGACTCCACAGGGCGTAGCCGGGCGGCTAAGCTGTGTATGTCGTCTATGCTGATGCCTTCGCCAGGTTTTATCCAGCACATTACCCGCCTTTGTGTGTGACTGGGCTGCACCGAGATTACTTGTGCCGTGAAAGCCCTGTTGGCACTGTTCAGAGGCGGGTCTGGCTAGTGTGCTTCTGCCTCAGAGCGTGTGTGTGTTTTCTTTTTTAATAACCCGACTTCAAGAGCACCTTTGTCCTGCTTGGAGACTCTTTCGACTTGTGACAAGATCCATTCACTGGAGACTCTTGTGACCAACACTTGTAAGATCTTGTAAGCCTTCGCTGACATCGGAGCCCATGGCTGCCCGCTGTCAGGACAGGAGCAATTCTGCGGCCGCCGCTTGATGCGTGGAGAGCTTGGAGAGCTTGGAGAGTGAAGACCAAGGCAAATCCTGTTCAGTACTCGGTACTTGAGAGAGGTTTGTCAAATAGCGGAGTCGCAGGTGTCGAACGAAACAAATGTTTCACAGCAGCCCAACACATTGCATCACCAATTGTATTACCATAAGTTTGGCCTGTTTTTTTGAAGAGAAACAGTTTGACAAAATGCATTTTGCTTGTCATTTCCTGAGGCCAGTGGCTCCGGAACTGCAGCTCTTAGCCGTCCTGCCAGCGCAGTCGGCGCCGCTGCTGCCGGCAGCTTTGCGTCCTTTGGTTGAGGCGACTTTCTCCAGTGACCAGCCAGATCACAAGTGACATGGTTTGTGTGGTTTGTGAGCTTTTCAACATGAGGATCCTGCATCACCAATCGCTGACTTCTATCCACGAGAGTTTGAGCTGGGATCTTAGTAGGAAGAAGGCAGAACCTGAGCACACCAAAAGCTCCTTGTGTGAAAGTGGACAGCATTAGCCTGAGCAAATGTTACCTGAAGCAGCATCAAAAGATATCGCCAGGGTTGACTTGAAAGAGGGTGACAAGGAGTGGCAGGCTCTCTGCTTCTTCTGGTCCAATATGCAGTGCGTGTTTCCCATTTTTACAATATTGTCAGGCTACAGTTTTGCTGCCGTTTGTTGATGAGACACGTCTCCAAAACGTTTGGCGCTCACTGCTTTGTGTGTCACACGGTTCCCTGCTGATCAGTGCCTTGAGTACAGAGTTTTCCTCCGAGCCAAGGCCTTGGCAAGTGTCCTCAGGGCCAAAGCCTTAGGAAGTGTATTAAAGACATAAGTTCGGCTATGCGGCTACTTGCCAAGGGTCTTGCCCTAGGAGGTGCCACTTTTATCATCGGAGTGTCTCGAGTCAGAGTGGCACTCTTATTTCTTTCCGAGGAGGGTGATCTCTCATCCTTCCGACCTGCACGAGGCAGTCGATTCGAGGTTTGGAAGCATGCGCATTTTTCCTGTTTGTTGGAGTCATCAAACTAACGGAAACTATATCACGGGTTTCAGCACCTCAGCGTGTTTTCAGTTGGTTCCATACTCGCTTTGAGCCCGCAGAGAGGAAGTGCAAGAATTCATAGATTTGGAATGTATACTGACTTGACAACAGTAGAGCATAGGTCTATTTATAGTATTTTTCAGAGTGTATAACTTACAACCTACTTTAGATCACAACACCTCATAAGTTTTTCCTCAAATCACGACTCCCTCTGGTAGGCAGGTGGTGTCCGCTCCTGGGATTTCATGGCGGAAGAGGAATTGCCACCAAGTCGAGCAAGAGCAACACTCAGCGATACGCAAGCAAACACTCTCTCGCTCTCTCTGATCATCATGTTGGCCCAGCTACACCATTCAACTAGCACTCGGTTTGACGAAAAAGTCATTGGATGTTTTGTTGGTGACTTCTGGTGATACAGCTTAGCCAAGGCCGGGACGAGTTTGGAGTCCCATCGCAGTTTTCAGAGGCACAGCTTTGTCACTACTAGCAATGGCCTCCAAAGGAATAGCGATGGCCTCCTCCTAGTAGCGATGCCCTCCAACCCAAAAGAAAAGACATTGCTCTCGATAGCATGCCAAAGACGGATTTTGTGCCATAGAAGTCCAGAGCTTGAAGGCGGCAGCAGCTATACTGCTTGCTGCCACTGAAAACATTGAGAGGGGTGGCAAAGGAGCCAAAGGTGCGGTGATTGGCTGTGTGATGATCACTTGCAGCCAAAGGATTTAGATTACTTGCAGGAAAAGGCCGCAAGGGCAGGCGTGACCGCATTGGCTTGAAACTGAGTTTACGAAAAAGTGTGAGCGGAGCAAAAGGGTCAGCCAAGACCGGGCTGCTGACTTCCCAGGCGATGGAAGTCTGCCTGAAGAGGCTGTTGCTGTGTGCAAAATGCCAAGCCTGCAGCAATCAAGTATGAAAATCAGGGAGAGGTCTCGGAGAGGTAACTTGCTATGGCTTTCTGAAACCTTCTGAAATAGGCTGTGAGCCAATCATTGATGCAGAATTGCACAAGCGGCCAGGCCAGTGCTCCCTCGCCCCAGGATGAGCACCTTGCCTGCAAGCTGCAGCTGTTTGACCATGAAGTTGGCTTGAAACGTGGAACAACTCTTTTTCAGTGAGGGAACTGAAAAGCAGTGATCGCCGTTGCCCCAGTGACCCAGCCCGGACACAAGCCAGAGATTCAGTAGTCGGTTTTCTGAAGAGCTGCAGACGAGGTCGAGATTGCCAGTGCGGCATTCTTTGATTTGTCAGCAGGGTGGCGTACTTTCAAGACCGGTTTGCCAAAATTGCATATCTCTTGAATTGGATAATCTGTTTCTTCAATTTTCTTCGGGAATCCCGGGGGAATTTCGAGATTTGCAGTTTGTGTACAGGGGCAACTGCAAGTCCATCTCCGATCACTGATGCCTCTCCACTTTTTGAGATGGTTGCTTGTGGCCCACTTTGGAAAGAATACATATATACATATGTATATATGTTATATGTAACAATCTTTCAGTCTTCGAGTGTGTCAGTGCTGTACAGTGGGGTAGAGGACTTTCCTCATTATATGGGATCAAAATAAGCAAACGTGCCAGTTAAATGCAGATTGACAGTGTAGAATGGGGTGACACATTCATGGATTCAAGCATTGATTTCTGCCAGCTTGGCTCAATTTTGATTTCTTGCCAGCTCTCTTGAACATTGACAAGCTTGTTCTTCGCTATTTGGAGTCCTTTTAGATTTTTTCTTGAGGACAGAGGTGATGAACTTTCGTCATTCTGCCAGTAGTCTGTGATGTGGCGCCTGAGACGCGCTACTGCAGCGCTAAGCCGTGGCCATGCCCATGCCCGGCTGCTGTCAACCGAGGTCCTTGTGTCGAAAGAGTGTCCAGGCTGACTGTCAGTTACAGTGAAAAGGCACAGGCTCCTCGACCGCGGGCCAGGTGGGGATTTGGTGTCTGAATTTTGTGGATCAAGTTTGCTGGATTTTTTAATTGTGTCTTGCTCGGTGGAGGCCGGTTGCCAAACAGAAGCAGATGGTGACGGCGGGAAAGGCGAGACTCGTGCAGGGTACGTTTATACAAGGAGTTGTACTTAGCTGCTAAAGAGGTGACAGGCACATTGAGGGTGTCCAGCTCTTCCTGTTCCGTTAGCTGCCCACTGAGATATGTCAATGTGACACAATGTCATCGGTCCGCGTGGCAGGTAATGGGAGTTGCGGCAGTTGGTGTGGGTGCAGCTTGATGCTCAGCACTTGAGATATCGTCGTGTCTTTCATTCTTATTTACCGTAGAGTTCCTCTGGTGTCAATCCGCTGAAAGAGCCATAAAGAAACATAGTCGGCGTTTTACGGCGTTTTACATATTTTTGTACTTGGATAATGTTCCGTGAGCTGCAAGCTGAAAAGGTGCATGATTGACCGCAGTATATGTATGCATGGGTATTTTTTTGTGTGTTGTACATATGCATGTATATACACCTATCTGGTTTAAAGGAGCCATTGCTTTTGCACTGAGTCTTTATGTGGAAGCCAGCAACTGCGAGATGACGTTCATCGGGTGCTTTTAAAAGCCAACGATGCCTTCGAGGATAAGAGCAGCAATATGTGGATCTACTTGTCCGCTAGAACAGGTAGGAGGTAGAGGAGGGGTAGCGAGGTAGTAAAGAGAAGCTACAAGTAATTAGCATCAACGCGGTGGATTCCTTGGCATAGTCAACACGGTTGCCGCTTTTGACCGAGAACTGACATCATTTGACAGGACTTCAATGATGTCTCTCGAGATTACTTTGAACGGATCGGAGATCGCTTTGTCTCGAGCAAGAAGGACAGCCAAGATCCGTCAGGATTGTCAAAGCAAGAACAACAAGTCCAAAGCTGGCAGCCAGCTGGCATCTGGTTTTTACCTTTTCCACGACAATCCATCGATTACGCAAACGTGGGTGAGTTGTCAAGGAGCCGTGGCTAGTGGACAAAGCAACTCTTCAGTATCCTGAGCACATACCAACCTTGGTTCTTGATGTCGACAAGGCTGGCAAATGAGCAGCATGTCTATGACATAATGAGTTTAGCGAATCTAGGAACCAAATCAGCGTGAGCTATCCTGCGTCCTGTTGGTAGTAGCTTACTTGCAGGTAGTAGCTACCTCTTCTACTAGCTACTGTACCTAGCTGCCTCGGCCTGCGCCCCAACAAAAAGCTACTACTAGCTACCTCTCCCTCAATTAAGTAGGCGGCTACTTAATTGCGTAGGCGGCTACCGGGGAGCGGGCAAAAAAAACTTGCATAGAGTTTAGAACAACTTCGGCTGATGTCACGTGATGCTCCAGACACAAAACATTGCAGTGTTTGTCAGGTGATATTGCATTTGCAACATGATAGCAAAAAGGCAAGCCGCAGTGCCGCTTTCTGCAGTATGCTACTTTTCCTGCACAAGTTCGATTCGGTTTGGACAGGGCTGGCAAGTGATCAAAAGACCATTTGCGGACAAGTTCTTCAAGGCTGTCCTTGTAATCTACCCTCAAGGTTTGCTTAGCACTTCTGAAAGGACCAACATTTTGAACCGGTCATGCTGTGCCCAGGAGATTCCTCACTACTACGAAGTGGTGCTTTTCTCTGACGACGTCTTTCCTGCCAAGAGCTCGGAGGGTTGCGAGCGGTGATCCAGAGAAGGGAAGTTGAAGGCACTTCCTACCATGCAAGCTTGAGACCATAGCTGCCATAGCTGCCAGGATCTACTTCTTTCTTGTTTGTCTTGTCCAAAAGCAAGTTTCAACAAATTCATGCCCGAGTTGACTCTCTCAGCTCCCACTTCCTTCAAGAAAAGCCACCGTTTCCTGCAGACGGGGTTGACAACGCGCCTAGGTTGCACTCGATATTGCTAGCAAATGGAACATTCCGGTGGTTGCCTGAGATGCTTTGCGTTCTGAAAGGATTCTTCTCCGAAATTGGTCATTTTTCCCGAGAGCGCCTGCGAAGGGTTTTTCGTTAAAAAGCATCTGCAGAACTACGTCTCATCTACATCTTCACATCTTCACCTCTGCACATCCACATTCTCACCTATCTCTCTGCTCATCTTCACATCTACATTCACAACTGCACATCTACATCTCTGCACATCTTCACATCCTCACATCGACATCTCTGCTCATCTTCATCTTCACACATCTACATCTCTGCTCATGTTCACATCTGCACATCTACATCTCTGCTCATTTTCACATCCTCACATCTACATCTCACATCTTTACCTCTCATCTACATCTCACATCTTCACCTCTCGCTCTTCTTAACTTTCTCTCTTAAGGCCGGGGGCAGTGCCGCCGGACCGCCACAAAACGCAACCCTCTGCGGAGATCGTGCGTGTCGGATGCCCTCTGCCGAGATCGTGCGTGTCGAGGGCGCGAAATGCAGGCGAGAGTGCGATTTGGTTTTGTCCGGCAACCCTCTGCGGAGATCGTGCGTGTCGAGGGCGCGAAGTGCAGGCGAGAGTGCGCTTTGGTTTTGTCCGGCAACCCTCTGCGGCGATCGTGCGTGTCGAGTGCGCGAAATGCCGGCGAGAGTGCGATTTGGTTTTGTCGCGGGCAACCCTCTGCGGAGATCGTGCGTGTCGAGTGCGCGAAATGCAGGCGAGAGTGCGATGTGGGCTTGTCGCGGGCAACCCGCTGCGGAGATCGTGCGTGTCGACATTGTAGTACAACTTTAGTGAGTGGAGCGATCTGTGGAGCTGGAAGCTGAGAGCTGGCGACTTTGTAGTACAACTTGAGTACGCGGAGTATCTGGTGAGCTGGAAGATGAGAACTGGCGACTTTCTAGTGCAACTTTAGTACGCGGAGCAATCTGTGGAGCTGGAAGCTGAGAACTGGCGACTTTGTAGTACAACTTGAGTACGCGGAGTATCTGGCGAGCTGGAAGATGAGAACTGGCGACTTTGTAGTACAACTTTTGTACGCGGAGTATCTGGGGAGCTGGAAGATGAGAACTGGCGACTTTGTAGTACAACTTTAGTATGCGGAGCAATCTGTGGAGCTGGAAGATGAGAACTGGCGACTTTGTAGTACAACTTGAGTACGCGGAGTATCTGGGGAGCTGGAAGATGAGAACTGGCGACTTTCTAGTACAACTTTAGTACGCGGAGCAATCTGTGGAGCGGGAAGCTGAGAACTGGCAACTTTGTAGTACAACTTTAGTACGAGGAGTATCTGGGGAGCTGGAAGATGAGAACTGGCGAAGTTGTAGTACAACTTTAGTACGAGGAGTATCTGGGGAGCTGGAAGATGAGAACTGGCGAAGTTGTAGTGCAACTTTAGTACGCGGAGTATCTGGCGAGCTGGAAGATGAGAACTGGCGACTTTGTAGTACAACTCTAGTACGCGGAGTATCTGGCGAGCTGGAAGATGAGAACTGGCGACTTTGTAGTACAACTTTAGTATGCGGAGCAATCTGTGGAGCTGGAAGCTGAGAACTGGCGACTTGTAGTACAACTTGAGTACGTGGAGTATCTGGGGAGCTGGAAGATAAGAACTGGCGACTTTCTAGTACAAGTTTAGTACGCGGAGTATCTGGGGAGCTGGAAGATGAGAACTGGCGACTTTGTAGTACAACTCTAGTACGCGGAGCAAGCTGTGGAGCTGGAAGCTGAGAACTTGCGACTTTGTAGTACAACTTTAGTACGCGGATGAGTCATCTCTCGCGGCTGAGTCATCTCTCGCGGCTGCTCTGGCGCCCCTGCAGCTGAGTCATGTCTCCCGACCACCCGGCTCTCTTGAGAGGTTGACAAATTTTAGTACCTTGCTTACTCGTAAGTGCCTGCCACAAAAGAGTCATCGTGGCGTTAGTATGTGTGTACTTCACCTTCATGACAAACGATGTTCGCTTGGAATACACGAGTCGCTTGTCATGATCGTGACGTCGCTTACTCTCAAGTGTGAAATGTACGTTCTTCAGTTCTAGTTGAACCTCTTCAGCGTTGTACTTGCACAACTAAGGTTGACGTTGCACTGCCGTTGCTCGACGCATCTACGTCTACACCCCCTCACCTCTCTATATTTACATCTTCACACGCTCACATCCACAGATCTACCTCTCCACCTCCATACATCTACAGACCTATATCGCACCTGCACATCACACTGTCACTCCTTCACATCCACCCTCTCTTTCTCTCTTTCTATACATTTTTTCGACAGTGCTGGACAATTACATGTCTCGCTCTCGGACCAACCGTCGTCTAGTTTTTGATCAACTCCCTGGGAAGGTTACAGGTGTTTTGCACCGGGACTTCTGCAAGAAGCTCCTTGACTTCACTGATCCAGTTCACAAGCCAGAATGGATTTTCTACTTGATGCATTCCATGGTTGAACATTTTAATTCCTAAGGAAACGAAATCACTTTGTGAAGGAGACGTGCAGACAGCTTGACAATGATGGGTCCAGCCGAAAGAATTTGTTTCTTTGGCGACACCTTTCAGGACCTCTCAAAGCTGGGCAGAAAACTTGATCGGGTGCCGAACAGAGTATTCACTATGTTTCTTTTTGGCGCTTGCAATCACGAACGATAAAGCCGGTTTCCTTTGTGACTTTTTGTGGAGGTTCTAATGATTGATCACGATCCTGTTGCTTTCGAGCTACAGGTGCGCTGTGTCACTTCCAACCTAACAGGGAGAAGTGCGCTAGGATGGGAAGGGTTTGAAAAAGAAAGGACACATAGGAACAGCTAGACTTACAGTACAAGTCTTCGCCTTAAAATATCCAAAACGTATTTAGGGGCCAATGAGGCCGTGTGTAATGAACACAATTACCAATCTAGCGCAGGGTGCTGCACATCTTGGCTCTTATGTTTTTTATTCGGTTTATGCACGATCATGTCGAGTCACCGTGCCAGCCTGAGAATGGCATTCTTATTCGACCCTTTGATGGGGATCCCTCTGACACCGCCAGTTCCTCAGTTAACACCGCTGGAGATGACCGATGCAGAACTGGACAAGGTGACAAGGTAAATCCCCATGACAGTTCCTTTTCGTCACTGCAAGGGAGTAGTGTTCCATTCGCACATTTCAGGCAATGCACATCGAATGAATGAAAGAGCATTCTTGCTACTAGGGCATCGCTACTAGGAGCAAGGACGCTGCTAGGGGCTCCTGGCCTTACTACTAGCAACGATAAAGCTACTACTTTCTTTTTGGTGGCTGTTGAGATGTTGAGATTGTCAGATCTTCGGACGAGCCAAGGAGCTTGCTGACTTGCTGGAGTTCCTAAAGGCAGAGAATCGGCGTCGATGAGAATCGGAGAACCCTATCCAATGGATCTTTTTCTTGATTTTCTTCATTTGCCAAGGGAGTCGGAGTGCGGCTCTCCCTTTTTCAACAGGACTTTTTTGGAAGAACACAAAAACAATCCTCAAGCGGATGCCTTCTTCACTACGCCTTGCTACTATGCCAACCTTGGGAACAGACATCTCTGCCCCCCTGCTCCTCTTACCTGGCAACCCTGACCTGAAAAGCCAAGGCTGCTGCTTCAACCCCGATGGATCTTCGGAAGTGCGGTTCTCGTGCAACACCAATGAGACCTTTCACTGGAGCCTTGCCGGAAAACACGTCTGCAAAGCTGGCCAGGTTCGTTCAGAAGTATGGTGGCGGAGATGAGGATGTCGGCAGGTACGTGGGGTGACATTCCACCTTTCAAGAGATCATTTCTTTGTGGAGTTCCTTCAGTTGCAATGCCCAGGCGCTATTTGCTAGAAAGGCAAGAGCAGGGCAAGCTGATTGAGAAGAAAAGGGTGCTTGGAAGGTGCTGGTTTGAATTGCCTTTTTCAGTGGTCAGAATATTATCGTTTGATCTATATTTGGGCTCCTAACCACCGAACTGTGCTTCCAGGGCCATTGGAGCTCGATCTGGCTTTGCACAGCCCGGACAGCCCGTGACCAAGCCTAGTGTGCTTGGAATTGAAGCATGGCAAAACTGGTGCAGAATGATAGGGCAGACGGTCCTAGTAAGGACGGGCAACTTTGGCATGCCACGATAGCTCTGGAGGCCAGGAGTATACAGTATGATACACTCAGTTCCTTTGGGGAGTGTGAAGGCCACACGTTGAACTTGGTGCACTGAACCCGTAGATTGTTCCATGTTTCGAAGATGTGGAAAGATGTGGCTAAAGAGCTACTTCTGGCACGTCACAGATTTGGCTTTGACGACCCCAGAGGGAACACACTTGTGTTCTTGTAGAGCTGCATCAGCTACCATGGAACTTTGGAGTCTTGCTCCAAGAAAGGTAGTTCTGCTGCAAGGTAAGCATGTCCTGAAGCTTTGAGAACATTTGTTTGGGTTTCCGGTGTCAAGCATGTTGAAGAGAGAGGCAGAACTGCTTGCTTGTCAACTCTGGAACAAGACGTTTCTTTGTGGCAAAGCAGCGGAAGCGCAAAACAACATCATGTCCAAATGAGGGAGTGCTCATGCAGTGTGCGAGGAAACACATCACACCTTGGCTCTAGCATCGATCCATTGGCTCTTGTTTTAACCCTCTGCGATGGCTCGACTTCGGAGGTAGAGGCGCTGGCCTAGTCGCGTAGTAGCCAAGATGGCTGAGAGGTATGCCATCTCCAAGGAGAAATTCTCAGATTTGTACCTTTCCAAGCATTAGCTGGTACTGGTAGAAGCTGACGGACTCAGCTGTCCAAGCTGTACTCAGCTGGCAGGAGCTGGCAATCGAGGGAGCCGCTGTGCCAGAACTTGTGAAACTGAAGCAAGATAGAGACAAAAAGTTGGCCGAGGACGAGTGGTTTGTTGCAGCCATGATAGAGGTTAGTGGCAACACTGCTGCTTTTCTGCCACCAAAACCTTGCAGGAGAAGAAGAACGCCCTTGCAGAGAAGCAAAAGGCAAGAGAGGCTCGGCAGCGGAGCGGATCCTGCTGGTCAACTCGGTGCAGTCTGTGGAACTTGGTGTTCGGCAGGAGGAGCGTGCCAAGCTCAAGGAGCGTACCGCTGCCTATGAGAAGGAGAGAGATATTACCCAGGCTTCCAGAGTAGATTTTGGTGTCTTAGACTTTCAAAGTCCCTCCAGGAGTACGCAGAAGGTGCTGCAGAGCTGGTGAAGCTGAGAAGAGAAGCGAAGGTGAACGGAAACTTCTTTGTGGAACCTGAGGCCTGCTAGGCTTTGCTAGATACATTTTTCTACTATCCTGCTAGGCTGCTAGGCCCTAGGCTCTGCTCAAGCTGTGAGGCAAAGCTCATCTTCGTGGTGCGCATTGCAGGTATCATGAAGATGAGCCCCAAGCCAAGGACCACACCTCAGTTTTCTGGCATGGGAACATGTTGGAAACATTGGGAGATGCTCTGAACAGGAAGGTTCTGCAGCTGCTGCGGCTAAAGCAGCTCCACAATGGCGTGTTTCTCAAGGCTTGGGCTCAAGATTTAGGACATACATACTATGACGTGTGCCCTTGAGTACGTCGCACTTCAAGAGCCGTGCATGGCACGTGTGCGTGCAAAAAGGTTTGAACAAGTTGAACAAGTCTAAAGTCAGTGTGTAGTTTATTCTTTTAATTCTTTGTGATGCCTTTTTGCTGGTTGCATCATGTGTCAGTCACCTAAAGAAGCAAAAACCCTTTGTGGACCAACCTACATGTCAGGTCAACAAGCCAATCTTGAACATGCTGAAGCTTGTGCAGCCTTATGTCACCTATGGCTATCCCTCCTTGAAGACAGTGAGGGAGTTGATCTACAAGCGTGGCTTTGGCAAGGTGGGACCTAATTAGCACCCTCCAAAGGACGTGTGTTTGTCACTCCTAATTTCAGGTCAGCAAGCAGCGAATTCCGCTGTCGTCCAACGATATCATCTCCGACGCTCTCGGAAAGCCACTTGGATAGCTTGATACAATGGGCAGGAAGAAATCAGGCATCCCATCAGACTGCGGAGGCTTTGTGGGTCGAGTGTGAGTAAACACGGGCAAAACTAGAGAACAGCGTTTTTTCAGAGTTGGTCTGTGGATCAAAATCCGACTCTAATGGCCCTAATGGACCGCTGAGAAGAGAATGAACTCCAGGACGATCAAACTAGGTTGGCTTTGTGGTTTTAGGCTTAGTCCACGTCCATTTTGTCAGTGCTTAATATAGCTGATTAAGCCCAAGGCACGGAATCCACGGCATGGAAGATATCATCCATGAGATCTACACCGTTGGGCCCAACTTCAAGCAGGTGCAAACTGTTGTGAAAACTCCATCATGCAAAAGTTTACCTAGACAAAACCCATAGTCATAGTCCAAAGGATGGCGAGTTGTTTCCATAGGATGTAGTCGCTTCAGGGCTTTAAACGAAATGCCAAGATGAGACAAGTGCACCCAAGACCTAGCAAGGAGTGTACCCAACACGGTTACAAACGTGCTAGACAAACATGTCTTTGTTGCAACCAATTGCCCCACTTGGTGCAGGTGTCCAACTTTTTGTGGCCCTTCAAGCTCTCCTCCCCGAAGGGCGGCTTCGTCAACAAACGTCTCGGCCTTGGATCTTCCATAAATTTGGAGGTAGCCTGAGATAGACTTGACTTGCGGAAATAGAACGTCTTGGGCTTAACTTGAGGCCATGGATTCTGTGAAGCTCGCGGTGGTGATTGGGGAAATCGTGAGGACTGGGGCTTCACCGAGGAAGACAAGGGAAAAAACAATCCATGAACATCTATCCTGTCAGTGGCTAGGAGCTCATCAATGAACTCCTTGGGCGAATGAACTAAGCGACGTGGCCGGCCAGCGGAAAAGGCTCTCAGCGTTGAACTGCAGACTGATACTCGAGACTCCAAAAGTTCATAAAGGTACAGTAACTCACTATTATTGCACGGTGTTTTGTTCGAGACTCATGGAGTTCACGCAAGGTGAACTGTGAGCCTTAACCTTAACACTTTGTTTGTGCAGTCACTACTGTGTGGCTCGAGTGTGTGGCCGTAGCAAAGATGGCTGATCGGTACCTCATCTCCAAGGACGAAACGATCCGACCGCACAAAAGATGGACAGCAATGGCAATCACCTTCAATTTACGACATTTGCTGGACAATTGAACCAAATGAATAGAGTGAGCTATCCAGCGTCCTAAGTAGTAGCTACTAAGCTACTAGCTACCTAGCTTCTACTAGCTACCCCTAGCGGCCTACCCTCCAAAAAAGCTTATTTTTCCATTTGTAAAGCTTTTTGGGTCAAAGGGGTGGGTTTGAGCTCTTTGGACCATGTAGGACACGGTCGTTGAAGGGGCTGCTGTGCCCGAGCTTGTCAAGCTGAAGCAGGAAAGAGACGCGAAGCTGGCCGAGGCCGACTGCGACTGACTCGATCAGGGTTTGGTTTCTTCCTTTCATTTTGACGCGTCATTCATCCATGAAATTTACCAAAGCTTCATTCAAGGAGAAGAAGAAAGCTCTGGAAGAGAAGCAGAAGACCAGAGAGGCCATTCGCCAGAGCCTTTTGAAATAAACTGCAGAAGATGTAGTGTATGGAGATCCGAATATGCTTGTATCACTTGTCCTGAGCCAATTGCTTCAAGAAATCTCGGTTCAAGAGCGCCAGCGCATGAGCTTCTGGCCTTACGCGCTCGAGTTCACCCGTGAACTCCGTTGGTTTTGGCCCTCGCATTCCTGCACTGGTTTGAGCCTGTCTGCCGTGGCCCTGCTCGGAATCTGCTGTTGTTTGGGCGGCTGCTGTTTGGGTGTGGCATTCACCCTCCTGGCTGTCTCTTCAGCCTGCAGACGTGCGGTGCAGCAGCTTGTTTGGGCTCTCATGTCAGGTGCTGCGACAACTCAGGCACCTGTGACAAGTCCGGCTCTCAGGAGACGGCTGGGTGAATACAGAAGTGGTGCATGAACACCCCCACGGACGTGGATTCACTGTCGCTCCAGCTCGGTGACCTCACGATCCACATCAGCAGATCTCCGGACCGCAGAGGCAGTCAACAACCCGAGACTGAAGGTGTTGCTCCGTCCAGTGCCGCTTCAGTTAGTGTGGTTTCAGAGTCCCCCTCACAGGGTGCCCTTGCTCGCCCCTCCGGGGGTACCTCAGCACTGCCAGTCGGTGCTCAGCAGGGCTATCGTCAGCGAGGATTCGCTCGGGACGACTGTTCAGGTGAGGCTTGGTCTTGGGAGTGGGAGGCTGCACTACTGGCTGCCAGGACACCCGCTGACTTCGAGCAGCTGGACCTGAGCCCCATCCGTGCCTTGGTTTCGCGATTGCGGGCTTGTGCAGGAGGGTGGACTCCGACTGCAAGGTTGGGTCGTGCTCTTCGGGCGGGTCTCATCGCCCGCTCAAAGATCGAGGACAGGCCGGGCATCTACGATTTGGGACCGGACATCCCTCTGGAGAACCGGTTCTACATCATCGCCAGGGGACACTCTGGCCGACCTGCAGGGTGGACCGACCATTACTCCACCTTCCTGGAAGAAGTTCGGGGGCTCCACTCCCGATTCCATCGTGACGTGGTGTGCCATTCCTTTGCCTCCAGGACGGAAGCAGAGGCCTACTGCATTGGTGCCGGGATCCCATGGCCCGGTCCTCTGCAGCGCAGACAATGACAGCAGATGGAGTGCGGGCCCTGTACGAGGCCCGCGAGCCCCGGTCGGGGCTCCCCTCTCTGTTTCTTCGAGTTCCAGAGGAAGGAGAGTCAGCTGCTTTGAGAGTTGTTGCAACCCTGGTCAAACTGAGAGCAGGAGGTTTTATGGTGGCCATCCCGGAGTGCGAGGAAGCGATTCATCTGCTACAGGCGCAAGAGCTGGACGATGGGGCAGAGGCGGTAGCACTCTTTCCTACTACAGTGGTCATGGAGACTACTCGTGGACGAGTGCTAGGAGAAGAGCAAGTGATTTTGGCCGACGTTGCATGGCCAACAGTGCATTTGTTTTCCAGAGCAAATCCCCTACGGTCGTCTTCTCTGCCAGAAGTGGTTCGCTTCCTTTGCGCTGGTCAACCTGCTCGGCCTCAGAAGGCCAGTTTGGAAGCAGCAGCAGAACAATGGATCCACGAGGCCATGGACGAAGATACAGCAGCGGACTACGTCACGGTGCAAGGAGACGAACAGGCGGTGGAGCCGGAGCTGGTGCCAGACGAAAGCTTGGTGGAGGATCTGCAGCAAAGGGTTCGAGACCTAGAGAATATGCTAGCTCAACAGTCTCGAGCCAGCGCACCGCAGGTGGCCCCAGGGAGCACTTCTCAACGTGTTCAACCTCGGGGAGTGCTGTTTGGAGATCAGACACCGGAGCCAGCCGACAAAGGCCAGACCTTGGCCACCCTGCGCCAGATGGCAGGGGCTGCGCCCAATCGTTTGGGCGCTCACGAGCGGGCTGTGAGAGAAGGGAGGCCGGAACAGTTCATCGAAAACTTGCAGCAGGAAGCCACCCTGGAAGCAGTAGCGCCTCCAGAACTGGAAGATGGGCTGGACGAGTTGGAAGCTCTCACCACCGATCCAATGCAGCGCATGCTAGTCCTGCAGATGAAGCACCTCCGACTGTTGTCGAAACAGCAAGCCGAGCGGAAGGTAGATCCTTTGCACGCCGCATTGGGCGGTTCAGAGACAAGTTCGGGCGGCTCAGGCATAAAGGGGTGCCTCGCCCGAGATGCCTATGTGAGACTTGCCGCCGATGTGGCAAAAGTGGGAGGAGTGGTGCTCCAGAATGCTGCAGTCGAGCTTGGGCTGGATCCGCACCAAGTGGGTTCCGGCATGATGCGCGAGTATCTGGAGAAGAGGTGCCCGCTGGGAGACCATCGTTTGTTGACCCAAGTCGGTTACCTCTTTGCGGCGGCTTGGGAACATGGGTTCAAGACAAACAACCCGGATTTGCTGGGACATGCCTCTCGAGGCATGCTGTTCGTGGACCAGGCTGCAACCGACTTCGGGCGGACAAATCTGGCTTGGCTCCTAACATCATTGCCAGAGCCCCAGTACAGCATCACCCAGAGAAATCGCACTCGGAACTCGATCAGTCCGTTCACCCGCCTAGCTCATGCCTCATGGGTGGCAGCAAACGTCTCTTACATGAAGGACCTGGACTACCTAGAAGGTCGCATCAAGAGCACAAACACAAGCGCTGCTCCCAGTGGGAATGCCAAGACAGAGGCAGAGGATGGAGCAGCTGCGAAGAAGCAGCCCTGGAAGAAGAAGAAAGGGAAGCAGAAGGACGATGGCCCAGCTGGGGCCCAGGAAAGCTAGCCCATATGCACCCTACTCCAAACTCTAGCGTGGATCCTTTGCTGCGTTCTTCTTCGTCAGGGCAGCAGGGTTGTCTCCCGCCTGCCTCTTGCGGTCGGGGTGAAGCGCTGGAGGAAAGGAGTCAAGGGGGTGATCGGGCAAAGATGAGCCGAGATGAGGCCCTCCCGAAGCCTGACTTTGGGCCTAGGGTTTAGGTGGTCGATTCACATCTGTCAGGCGATCACCTGCCTCAGAAAATTCAGTGCACTGAATTGGTGCGCGCAGTTTTGCAAGTGTGCAAGCTTCCGAGCGATTTTCAACGGTTCGCTCAACGAAGCCTCAAGGAATTCCGCAATGTTGAAGGTCCGTTTGAGAAAAGGACCGACCTTTGGCCCTGTCCCCCTCCGCGGTGGAGGCGTTGGACAGCCATGCGTCAGCTTTCTCCAAGGAGGAGACGCCGGCATCGTTTCCTCGAGACCAGAGCTCTTTGCCTGCAGCAGTTGGTCTTGGCCCTCAATTGGCTTAGTTTGGGGCATGCGCGTTCGCCGCCGGACTACGCCCGTGCTGGGTACCCGATGAGCAACCAGCAGCACCTGATGCTGGAAAGGCTAGAGGACCTGGTCGACTACTATCTGGAGGCCCCTGAGGCTACCACTGAGAGTTTAGGCCGGGCTGGGGAGAAGCTGAATAATTTAGGCAGATTTGCCTTTTCATTGCATGACCCATCCACTGAAGTGACAGTTTCTGATCTGTCTAGTTTTTTAGAAAGCATTCAAAAGACTTTTGAGCCATACTCCCGTTCACGCAAAGTGCCTGAGAACACCTATGAGCCTCAGCCTAGCTGCACCAGTACAGACGGGGCGAGACCCCTGGTCCCTGAGACTCGGATCCATATGAGCTCGTCCACAGCAATGCCAGTGGTTGCTGACAGGATCAAGTGGAAACTTGCACCCTCGTTCAACCCTGCACCGTTTTTGACAGATCCCATCGTGAAGAGAGCTTTTTTTGGATCCTAACTTCCTCCGACGTCCGGAGAAGGAGTGGCCAGTCTTGCCTCGTGCAAAGGTTCATGCAGACACTCACCAAGTTTTCAGCTTGGCCCAAAAGTGGGATGCTCTCGGAGCGTGTGCGTTGGTACCATGCAGCGAGGTAAAGTCCATCGAGACCGTGGGTATTTTTGCTGTCCCCAAAGATAGTGATTATGACCGTCTCATACTCAATCCCACAGTCATCAACAGCAGGAGTTTTGCCTATGCAGCATATACCAAAACCATCGCCCCCGGTTACCTGATGAGCTTGATCCGATTGAACGACGACGAGGATTTGTTGGTTTCTTCTGACGATTTGTGTGAGTTCTATTACACTTTCCAGGTAACTCCCCAACGTGCTCGTCGAAATGCAATTGGAGTCAAGTTCCGCGGTGCCGACTTCGAGGGTTTTAGATGCTACAATAGCAGTTTGCGTTCTGAGGAAGTTTACATTTGTTTGAGTACACTTGCTATGGGCGATGCCCTCGCTGTTGAAATTGCCCAACAAAGTCACGTAAACGTTCTCAGAAAGCTGGCATCATGTATGAGGCCGGAAGAGTGTTTGCTTTACCGTCAACCAGTGCCCCGTGGACCCTTTTATGAACTCTTGACAATCGACGACCACATCGGCCTTCAACGAGTCAAGAAAGATGGTTCCCAGGTTGCTTCTCACAGCCGTGACCTCCAGGTGTTTTCAGCAGCCAACAATGCATACAAACATGTTAAGTTGACAGCACACCCGGGTAAGATGCGGAGAAGGGACAACCATGCAGTGGTCCTCGGAGCTGAGATTGATGGGTTGAAGGGCAGATGTTCGGCTCCAAGAGAACGTATTGCATTACTCAGCTATGTCACATGCATCGTCATTCACAAACAATTGGTGACAAGAAAGCTTTTGCAAGGGTTGCTTGGTTGTTGGACACATGTTCTTTTGTTCAGAAGGCCACTTTTCGCATTGCTTGATGCAGTGTATCATGAAGGTGAGAGCCTGCAATGTGACGTCGTCTTCAAACTTTCATCGAAGTGTTCCGAAGAGTTGACCATGTTGTGCCTCCTTGCACCAGCCATGCAGACTGACCTGCGCACTGCCATCGCGCCAGAGCTCTATATGCTGGACGCCTCCCCATTCGGTGGGGGCATATGCCATGTGCCTTTTGCTCCTATTGGCGCCGAGGAATTGTGGAGGCATACCGAACAACGGGGGTTCTATACCCGTCTACAGTCGAGTGCTGGAGCGACATTGCGTGAGTTAGGGTTGGAGCATGAAGAGTTTTTTGGTACAGACATTGAGCAAACTGGACCATTGCTTGAGCAGACTCCTGATGTTAAGGTAACACAGTTAGTCCACAAGCACTGCACCGACACCACCCAGATTTTCGATTGTCTTGAACTGTTTTCTGGCCAGGGTAATTGGAGTTCTTGCCACGCGGCAGTCGGGCTGAAGGTGCACCCTGGCATCGAACGTTCTGCGAAGGGTAGAGGGTTTGGGGATCTTGCCGATGATAAAACCTTTCGTGAACTGGCCAACCTTGCCTACCACGGGAGGGTGAAAGATTGGCACGCAGGGCCTCCATGTTGGTCCTTCGGTACGTTGCGCCGACCGCGACTTCGTTCGAAACAGGAACCCGCTGGCTTTTGCGTAACCGACCCTCAGACCCGTGAGCAAACTATGTTGGCTGTCAGAACTGCATTCATCTTGACATTGGCCTGTTTAAGTGGCAGTTTCATTTCAGTTGAACAGCCGGGTAGCTCTGTGATGTTCCTTCTTCAGGCTTTCCAAAGGTTGTTGACTTTGGGCTGCAGGATTACAAAATTTTGTTTCTGCTCTTACGGTTCAGGTTTTATGAAACCCAGTAAATGGTTGCACAATAAGCCTTGGTACGACGTGCTGGCAGGTCGCTGTACTTGTGCTTTCAAAGACAATCATTTTACAGCGCAGGGAACTTTTACAAGCTCTGCAGCTAGAGTGTTTGATCGTCGGTGCAATCCCAGTGCGTTGGCAGTGTACGGGAAAACGCCCACCGTCGGCGAGGCCGTCAGTCGTTTTTCTGCCTCGTATCCGTTACCTCTCTGTCAGGTGATGGCCGCAGGCTGCAAGGCCGCGTTGAGCTCCGATTTACTCCCGAAGGCTAGCTCTTCCCGCTTGGCAGCTCATGAGCCTGACTGCAACAGTGAGGACGAAGGAAACGAGTCTTCTGTCCAGCGCAAGTGGTTCGAAGATCCAACCTGGGTTGAAGAGATTTGCGAAAGTTTACAATTTCAGGAACTGTTTAGGTACAGGTTCAAAAAGGGAGGTCACATCAATTGTCTTGAATGCCGGGTTTACAAAAGTTGGCTAAAGCATTGTGCAAAGAAGCATCCGCACAGCCGCATTGTGAGTTTCCTGGACAGTCGGGTCACCATGGGAGCGGCAGCAAAGGGTCGAAGTTCTTCAAAGGCCTTGAGCCGAATTCTCAGAACGTCTTTAGGGTACATCATTGGGGGTTGCCTCTATCCTGGGTCGTTGCATTGCAGGTCAGCTTGGAACAGGGCAGATGGCCCTTCCCGGGATAAGAACGTACCCGGCCCTTCCATGCCTGTGCCCACTTGGTTGAAGACACTTGAACAAGGTGATACACGGCTGTTTGACCAGATGGTTGTCATGGCTCGTTGGACGAGGCCTGTCGGAAGATGGATTCGCTTGCTCTTGTTGTTGGCCGGTGATATCGAGCAGAATCCCGGCCCTAGAATGCAGCAGTCTGGAGCAAAGTCTTACACCCCACGTGGAGAACTTGACTTGCTTGGCGGGTTTGCAACAGCGACCAGTGCTAGAATGCGCAAGTGCTTTGAAGCTTTTCAAGTTTGGTGTGAGCAAGACGCGAATTTGAACTTTACGACAGTGTGCAGTTCCGCGGACTGCGCAAATCTTGCCTTGAAGGCCTACGGACTTGCATTATTTCGCGAGGGCAAGCCAAGATATCAGTTGGTATATGCTATTACAGCAATGCAAACCGTCTTTCCTGAGTTCAAGCGGCACCTGACTGGTGCCTGGCAGGTTGACCAAAAGTGGCAATTCGAGGAGCCGGGGCAATGCAGAGCAGTGTTGTCAGCGCCGGTTTTGCGTGCCATCATTGCAGTTGCACTACTTTGGGATTGGTACACATTTGCTGGTTCAGTTGCATTGGGTTTCGGTGGCATGCTCCACCCGAGTGAATTCTTGGCCCTTTCACGGCAAGACCTTGTGTTTCCAGAGGACGCCATGATGCAACAACAGTGCCTTTATGTGTTTATCAAGAATCCTAAAACGGCCCGCTTTGCAAGGCGTCAACATGCCCGTATTGACGACGTTAGCTTGGTTTTCTTGATACGCTGTTTGTTCGGACACTTGCCTTTGCGAGCAAAACTGTTTCCGGCCACTGTCGCTGTCTTTCGGCGACAGTGGAATGCACTTTTTGATCACATTGGCATCCCCAGGAGGCAGTCTGAACATGGAGCCACTCCCGGTGTACTCAGGGGGAGTGGTGCGACACATGAGTATCTTGAGACGGCCAACATAGCCCAGATACAGTGGAAGGGAAGATGGAGCCGCATCCGCACTTTAGAACATTACATTCAAGAAGTGGCGGCCCAACTTTTCTTGTTCAGCCTGACAGATGAAACTCGTCGACGTGTAGCGTTTTTGAGTTCACAGTTGGGTGTGTTGCTTCAGCAGTTGTTCCCAAGTCAATTTGAGCAATTTGCAAAGCAGAAATAAAGGAGTGGAATGAGAGCTGTCGATCGATCTTTACTGGCCTTGCATGTTACATTGTTGTG